CTTCAGTCAAGTAACAAATTCACTTGATAGACACTAATTTGGATAAAATAAAATGTTAACTGAAAATTATCTGTTATCTTCTATTCATTAGATAGCGGCTTCGAGATGAATAAAGATAATCCGTTAGGAGTTCGTGAATGGTTATGACTCTTCATGTTCAGAGAGAGACGCAGGTGACAATGAATCGTTACTCACTATATCATAAATCTCTCAGTTTCTTGTGCGGGTCAGTTGATTCTAGTTAGTTAAAAACAAAACAATCTCCATGATTTCCAAAGGTACTGGGTTTGATTTGTCTAGTGATGAGAGACAATTATCGCACAGATTTTCTATGCTGGAAAGAAATATCTTTCCTGTGCTTACCGACTTTCAGAGAGACCTTAATTCATATCAGTCAGTGATGTCAAACGTCACTATAAACTTCTAAAAAATATATTTCTACTTTTGAGCTACTACTCATCAGTAGTGTAATTTTTAACTCATAATAATTAACTATGATTCATTGATTATTGGAATGACAAGTTTTATTGAAAAATACTTATGGTAAAATATGTTTTCTTTACGATATTGCTTAATTCTGGTTTCCCTTAATTTAAATCTCGATAAAAGTATGTTTTCCATTCGCTTAATGAAATACAACGTTAACGTTATGCTTCAATTACAACTACTTGTTTCATTATCGGATCCTGGCTCTCTCTTAACAATGATTCTATTTAGTTCCGAAACATGATCATCATCAACCAGAATGATCGTAACATCTCGCTTTGACAGTACATACTGCTATGTTCGACCTGGTATTCGTAGTGAAATGACCAATTATTTAAATTATTTTCTTACTTTAGTAAGGAATTGTCATGCACACTAATAGATAAGAATTTCATCTGGTTAGGTCACATGATGTTTTTAAACTTTGCACTTTTGACCTTACTATTAGAATTTTTGAATAGAGCTTTGAATAATGGTTTTTCTTACTTTTCTAATTTTACTGATTCACTGCTTTCGATGTCATCTGAATATGAAGCATAGAATAATGTACGTTATGGTTACCGGTAATCTTGCCTAATATTTTTATTCCCTAAATGTTACTCTTCATAACCTACAGTTATTGGTTTTTATTAATTGATCAACAGAATGAATATTATGCTATTCCATGTTTTTTCTGAAAATAAATGCGAGATTTATAATTTCACTTTTAGTAATTTGAGTAAAAAGCAGTTGAGAAACAGACCATAGTTTGTTGTTGATAAATTGTATTCTATTCCAAATTATAAAACATTTATTAGTTTCCCCTCTCGTTCATGTCATTTAATCAATTGGCTTTTTATTCAAAAAAGTAATGGTAAGTGAACACACCCATACAGATGAAATTTTTATGCATATCATTGGAAAGTACAATACAAATTTATTTCGTTATTTACTTCAAGCCTAATACAACGTATTGTTCCATACAATCCATACATAACTAATAGGTATCCTGTTTTATTCTCACCCATTTATGAATAAACGTTTTATTTGTGGTTAAATTAACATTATTCTAGTATTCCAAAGCTGTTTCAATCATCAATATTAGAACTTATAAACCGCCTCGTCTAATATAGAACAGTAGTCGGATAATGCTTGTGAGTATATGTCAGCCCTAATATTAATTGTCTGAATTGAAACTGAATGATTATGAAATGAGAATGGGTTTTGTGGAGATTTTTAGAAATTTCACAAGTTGAAATCATGAGTCAGTTTCATGATTTCAACTTGTGAAATTTATAAAAATCTCCACAAAACCCATTCTGATAATAATAATCACCTGCTCACTAGTGACTGACTTCAGGAGACACTTCTGGAGTTCTAGTGAGAAGTCGTTACCAGTGGAGTTCAACCAGGTCTGTTGTGAGATAGGAACTCACTGAGGACAATGGTGTACGGTAGCGCAACTTCGTGGATTGGTTGAAGTTAGACATTAACACCGTTGGATGCCGGCTCAGTGGTCTAATGGTTAAGTGCTCGCGCGCGAAGCCAGTAGGTCCTGGGTTCGAGCCCCGGGTGGTGCGGGGTCGTGGATGCGCACTGCTGAGGAGTCCCATACTAGGACGAAACGGCCGTCCAGTGCTTCCAGGTTTTCAATGGTGGTCTAGCTTCAACTGACTCATGATTTCAACTTGTGAGATTATGAAATGGTTTATAATAAAAATAAGACTACTGACACAAAACACTAAACCCCTTAAACACTGTTTCATTTATGAGTTCACGTGAGAGTCGAAAGTTTCACACTTAGATTCCCGAATTCAAGGTCATGGGTACACACTGATGAGGACTTTCATATTGAGAAAAAACGGCAATCTAGTGCTTACAGATCCACAGCAGAGGTCTGGCTGAGATCAGTTCGTGATTTAAACCAAGGTTTATTACGAAAACATAACAACTAATCAGTAAACAAAACTGCAGTTCGCTTCAATGAAGTAGTTCAGTTATATGTGAATATCAGGAATGTACATACAATGTAAATGGTTGAGTGAAAATAATCCCAGTAGAACAGTGAATATCTAAAAACTACCTGACGCCTAGGATATCAGTTAGCTCGTTATACAAAGAAGCCCGTTAAATCTTTTAGAGGATAGGGCTATAACCAGCGGTCTCCAAGGAACCCTATCATGGCATTTTCTTCCACATCGTTATTTCTACAAGGTGTGGTTACTGACACTACGACAACGATCACCTACCAGCCTGATAGATAGGAGTCTTGAATCAGTTTATGATGCAATCTTTTCTGTCCTTCTATAGATATATACTTTTCATATAACTGTAAATACGAATGTACAGCTTATGTAAACGATTTCTTCGAAAAGAAAATTTTCTTCCCTGAATTCTCAATTTATGTAGTTCTTTGAAGCCATCGACTTATTGGATTGGTTGAAGTTAGATACTAACACCGTTGAATGCCGGCTCAATTGTCTTGAGGTTAAACTTTTGTGCGTGAGACACAGTGTACTGGGATTGAGTGCGATGTGTGGGATCGTGGATGCGCACTGTTGAGAAGTCCCCTAGTAGAACGAAACAGCCGTCAGTGTCTTCAGCTTTTCAGTGGTGGTCTGTCATTGATTCTTTCACGATTTCAATGAAATTCAGTAGTCTTCACAACCCCAAACTGAGAACCATGTACTTATCTTAATGTTTTCAAGCTCAACTCTTCTCAAATTACTACAAACAGGTGTGGAATCAGTACATAACAGGCAGATATTTAATTACAATTTTATTATAATCTGGAGCGCCCAAACGTGGCACAAATGCCCACTAAGTAATAGATAGCAGTTATTCGAAGATATTGAATGTAGGTGATATGTTTGTTGATACTTGACAGTGAAACCTGTTTTTCAGTCTTCGTTGAATTGATGCTGTCCGTCGGATGCATACTAACCTTATGAACTATCATAGTCCATAGTGTAAAACCTCCTTCTTATTTAGCACCAAAACATTTGAACTGAACGGAAACTCATGCAAATAAAAAGGGTTATGTATGCCCAGTCGTGAGGACAGTCTAAATTCTTCCAGTCGTATCCTATGTGTATGTATTTTTAACATAATGGAAACCTTTCAACAAAGATTTTCTTGTCTCAGTGGCCTGGAGATTGAGTGTTCGCGCGAAACACCGGATGTCCCGTCTTTGATTCTTGTTGGCAAAGTGGTGGATGTACACTGTTGATGATTCCGATAATTGGTTGAAACAGACCTCAAGTGATTTCAGGGTTTTACCGGTTACTGAAATTACATCGGTCTGTGATCTGGACTTGGTGTTAGCAAATATGTATGAATTATTTATTTATGTGTAGTAAGATCCGAGATAATCGTTTCGTTCTAAACACAAACACATGAATGCAGAATATTTGTTTCAATTAACTGCCATCATGTTCTACAGTTATATATTCAAATTAGTAGTCCAAAAATGGGAAACGCTTAAGGCAAAAACGCTGTTCCACATCACAGCTCACGTATTTACAATATTTTGTAAAATGAAATGACGTTGTTAGTGTTGAAATGGCTAATAGACACTGGTAACTTGAATAAATTAAATCGAATTTTGAGATTGGTAATCAGAGTGAATACGGATAACATTGGGTGTGAGGGAAATAATAGTTCGGATGGAATGTTAGCCGAAAGTCCATATAGCATATGAAGCATTGTAAATCATTGTGTAGGACGCCACAGAAGTATTTGTATACGATTCCGCTCCCAGAAATTTAACACGTGACCCTCACTCTTGCAGGTGAACGTTCAATCTCTAGACCACAAATTTGGCATCCAATGATCGGTTGCTGACTCGTCTGCTCAGATATTAAGCACTACATACAAAACCTGAGTTTCTTAGTTGGATTAGACATGGAGGTCCTTGATTTGAGCTACATTTCACTGCGCCTGGATTTTCAGCAGTTATCTAACATATGTCGTTACGTGATTTTAATGGTAATATATTGTTACATATCAGCTAATATCTAAAAGTCAACCATATATATAAGGCTCGAAAAAAAGTTTCAAACTACTTAAAATTTACGTTTATCTATTGATTTCTTAGAATAATTGAAATTCATAATGAAGCCAAATAGTGGTGTTGCAAACAATTCACATTTCTATTCATTTCGCTCAGATCAAGAAAAGTTGACCTAAATTGTGTCAGACTGAAAAAGATATTTAAAAAATAAGTCAATCTCCCTTCTTTTAATGTTTGCGTATTTTTTAAATTCATTATCAGATTTTTGTTATATATAAATATATAAATATATATATATATATATATATATATATATATATATATATATATATATATATATATTCAATCTTTGTCTTAATCATCAGTTGTTTTTTTACTCGTTGTATTACTTCTATATAAAGGGCTACATTATATAAAGTTATCCGAAAATTAACCAATCACAGTTCTTTTATTCCACAAATTATACATTTTAGAAATAAACCAATCAAACGAATTCAAAGTCATAATTTATAAATTTTCATACATAAATATTTGTTTTGGCAATAATGAAGATGAATTTCCAATTTTAAATTTACTTTTTACAAATTGTTGCAAACCTTTTTTGATTCTATTTGGAATATTTCCCAATCAACACAATGAATTATTTCCTTACGTAAAATTTAAAAACATTAAAATAGACATTGGGTAAATTCAACAACTTAATACATTAATTAACAACAATTTTCTCAGCATTTTCGGTAATCCGAAAAAATAGTCAAACAAGATATATGGCTGACCATCAACTGTTGTTTACCATCATTCAAACTAAACATCAAGAAGTTCACAGTCGATAATATTATTATCAACTTACATAGTTCAACCTAGTGATCCACTTAATAAATGTCTTTACATAATAATATCTATAGTAATAAGTCATCACAATTAAATAATTCATCACAGTGTAACAATAGTCACTCTGTTGGATTGAGTCAATACAAACCATATCTAAATATGATTACAAACTACGAATTTCATAATCGTTTCCCTCAAAGTCAATCAAAAGAAGTTTTGAAACAATATTCTGGTGAATTTGAAAGTTTGGGCGATGAAACACGGTAATTAATAAATTTCTAATCATTAAAACAAGGATATTTTTATTAGTGAAACTAATATGAATGCGTGTTTCAGAATATATATTAATTTCGGTATAGAAAGCATCCTTAGAAATTTATTTTTATTATGGAATGTGACTGTGCTATAACAGCTAGACGGTTAAAATACCAATGTCACTTGTAAAAATGCATTAGATACTGATCTATTTAATTTAACCTTACAATATGGATGTCAAATGTAGAGTATCTTAAGCGGTTGGAGGTCACTTTCGAAAATTTTATACTGCACACTGATTTACATTCAGCAGAAACGTGCTTCTTTAACCTTTACAGGAATGATGATACCTATATAGTTTATTTTTGAATTAACCCACAAAAATCAGTGATGTTGATATTTAACCAAGACTAATTCTCCCATATAAATGATGTTATTACACAATAATTAAACTTTGAGAAGTAGCTGGTGTTTATAACCGTTTATTTGGATGTACCAGCTTGTCAGTGTTAACCTCAGATGGAATTTGGTTAGAACCATTTCAAATATGGAGATGTTACATTTAGTAAATCACTTAACGATACAAGGGTGTGTTTAATAGTTTGATATTTATAAAAAAAGTCAATGATTACTAAATATGCAGGATACTTTGACATTTTTTGCAGTAAAAATAAAACTTGAAAATTACCTGAAACTTTAACTCACTTGACGTAAAGAACTGTATTATTATTATTAATATAAATTCATTATAAGGAAGATGATTCTTAAGAGTATTTATATTTTGATAGGTCAGCTTAAAATTTAAAACACCTTTTCTTAATTAAGAACATAATTTCTGTCGAAAAACAAAATAATTCGATTTACATCTAATTAACAATCATCTTCAATAAGACAATTTGATAATCATCAAAGTTTAATAATAAATAGTTTTCTTGTGTCGTTTATGTGAAATTAATGAGTTATTCTTAAAAATCGTATTGTATACTTGAGTTATATTGTTTAAGAATCCGTTTTGACTAAGATTCCAGTCAAGTTCTTATATGGCGTACCTTTTTACTTTATCAGACAGCCGATTATATAACGGTTAACAATGCAACTCTATGAATTAAAATAAAATATATAGGTGAGCGTCAAGTGTTTTTTATCTTCCAACTGGATTTCAAAAATACATACAATGTACAACATCATATCCATAAAAATGGATTGCGACTCAGTATCTGTGGTTAATAATATTTTATAAACACATTCTGTGTTCGATTTTAAAACAAATTCAATGTCGTAATTTCTTCCAAGATTTAATGATGAAAGTTGCTAGTGAAAACAATTTGTTAATGAACTATTTTAACCAGAAAATTCATTGTTTTACTGTTATCAGGACATTGTGCACTTCATCTTTTAATGTAATTTTAAAATGTAAGGTTACAGAGTTGTAATTATTCCCTTTTTATTATTGTACGGGTTATTAATATTATTACTACTATTAATAATATTTTATTTTTGTCGCCTATTAGGCTACAAAACAAGAGAGAAAAAAGACAATATAACCTGACATTTAGTGAAGTCATATGCACATGATTTTCGTACCCGTAAAAACATGTCTGTGTTGTTGAAAATAGACTTTTTCTCGCGTTAATTTTTCTTTTATTTACGCGATTTACCCTTACACTAATCAATGAGCAAATAGTACTGATTTTTTGAGAGTTCTTATTTTTTAGTAAGAAATTGCTTTTTATTCCAGTTTTGCCTTTACTATAAGTAAAATAAACTAATCCATATAAAAATCTTCAAAACGAATTCCTCATATTCTATAATTTGATTATTAATTTTCTAGAAAAATTGTTAGTAAACATATGAATAATTAATAAAGTATACCGAGGTATACAATAAACAAACTAATGTTTTAATTTTTTTTGATATTTCAAACATTCCCTTAATGCCAAACTTAATAACCGTTGCATCATATGGATGTTGAATGATGAGTGATACATTTGTTCTGTTTGTTGAAAGGATTAAAAAAGTCAATGAAAAGAAAATTATAATCTATTTTGAGTTTAAATATAAACCTTCTGTCAGTTAGTTCAAAAACTACGTTTTGCTTGATAATTAGCTCAGTATATATATAAGCTGATTTCTTGGAATACGTGCATACATATGTAAAGTAATCAACTGCAATCCTGATTATCAACGGTACAAAGTTACAAATTCTGATTAATAATAAATATTCTTTTTAAAAATTTCATTGAATACAAACTAAAATATATTTTACAAAATATACGTGGAATTATGCTAACATATTAGTATTTGACAAGTGTCACAACTGATACATTGAACAATATAATAACCCGGTAAAATTGTTAATACTCAGTAGAAAGTTAGTATCTTGTATGGACTGTAATAACCAAAACGGTGATAGTCTGTCTTAAAATGAAATTCAACTTTTCAAAGTAATATATTTCAATCATCAAGTCGATACTTTCTTCTGAATACTTATTAGATCAATAAATTATATTTTAATCTTCATACTAATAAGAACATTCTGGTTATAATTTTTATACTGATCAATTCACTCTTTTGAACTATCCAGAATATTTAGATGACCAGTTAATAATTCGATTCTTTTATTCAGTACTGACTATGAACAAACGTTTTGTGATTTTTTACCTTGGAAGTATATGTATCTAATTTTATTTCAAAAGAACACTGTCCCTAAGGTCGGAAAAAGCATGCTTAAATAAGCAATCTATACTTATGCAAAGGTTAAGAAAAGTTGTTTAGAAAACAGCCAAGCTGAACGTGGACTGCTTTTATAGTTGTCAGATAATAGAAACGACAAAGAGGATCTATCAGAAGTCATCACACTGACGTCCGTTTACAGATTCTAGAGCTTTTGTAAAGCGATTCATTTATAGCACAGAACTAAGCCAGTCCTACCATCTTATCACCGAACACCATACTGGTTGAATAAAAGACAATTAAGGGTGTTTGAGAGCTCTATTCTAGCTTACTTGGTTGATATAGGACCTCAAGCTGACTTGAACAAATAGTTTGCCACATGGTTTATGGGTTGAGTTTTTGTTTATTTCCTAAGCTTTTAAAATTCTCATTGATATATCTAGTGTTTTTGATCAAAAGAAGCTTATACAACCCCTCTATCTAATTTGGTTAATAATAAAGGTCATCTAAGAATGGGTCAAAGCATAAATTTACTTTACTCTGTTTTCTTGAATGTTTCCCGAATTTCCCTCACTTTTTTCTTCGTACTCAATTTTAATTTTCATTCTTTTGTGAAATTGCATTGTTATCAAAATATTTTGTGAAAAGCCTAGGAAAATATATAATCAGCCAATCCTTAGATCATTTGTTCTAATTTTTTACAAATAAATATTTTTATCATAATTAATATAAACTACGTTCAATTTCTTAGTCACTTGACTGTATTTTCATAATCACTTGTAAATTATGTAATAATTCTACTGTGTAAACCCATGGGGAAAAACTAATTAAAAGGAAATATTGCTCCATTCCATTCGTTGGATGAGAGACAGGTATCCGTAATCGGATTATCGCGCAATGAATAAAAGTTAACATACAAGGTTATGTTATCTGTGAAAATTATATGTGTTTAACATGAACAAACTGACTAGTGTTTCGATTCAAAGTTGAAATATCATATTGTGGAAACCAGAACAATAATTATTATCACTTTCGAACCTCAATATAATCGGGTTGTGGAGATGCTAAACAACTGGAACTCTTTTCAGCTCCCTCCTGTCTCATTCAATGAATGTCAATGTATACATAGATATAAACTACAGTATTCACTTATTTCATCATGGATACGAGACACTTGTTTTTTCAACTTATGTTTCATCTTCTTTGTCCCTGACCACTAAAGGTTTTCCAAGTTAAAGGGTTGTTATGAATTGATTCTTCAATCTATTTAATTGTTTTAGAGCTAATTTCTCATTAAAATAATTGTCGTTATTTCAAGATCAATTTCTAATTCAGCTGAATAGTAACTTCCTTGTATTTTGGAGATTATCAACAAGATTCATCCACATTTCCACAATGTATTATACACAGAACTTTCAAAACCTTGTAGTACAATCTTATAATAACACTGTGACTGAATATAAAATGTAATTATTATGGGATTCCATCAGTATGTTATTAATTTTTTGAGTGATTAGATGAACTACACAGTCCACTTTTTATATTCTCACCTGTAAACTAATCATTATCATTTAATTAGTTACTTCGTGTAATATATACCGATTCAGATTTGTAAGGCAGGTAAACACCACTGTAGAAATATATATATCTTATAGACTGTCAGCTTGCTCTTCATAGTAAGTGATTCTCAGATGAATGACCTACTGTTAAATGTTACAGGGTAAAAAATATGTATCAGTTGTGATGAGTGAAATCAATCATCAACATTTGGTCATGATCTAAAATGTTTCACTGACGGAAATGTCATTAAACTCAAGTACTAAGCAAATAATTTAGACATTAAAAATTAAATTTTAACAAATAAGGAAGATGGTGATTGTTCAACGTTTACAAACGTGACTTTTTTTCATTTCTAATATGTACTCATACTCATCAATCAAAATTGGTGAGGAAAAATGTCCGATTTCTTTTTCAAAACATCTTTATCCAGCTGGTTTATTGTTCTGCTCATTCTAAATTATATGTATTTTGCTTTGTTTGGATATAAATCAACTGATTGAATTAAATTGTGCTGACAGATGAATATACTAAAAGAAAACTAATATTTTTATTGGTCATTGATTAGATTTATCGAGAGCATGTACAGTCTTACATATGGCATCACTTTGAGGTTGGATTATTAAATAGCTCTGATCAATTTCTTTCATATTTATTTTATTATTATGAAAAGTTACCTTATTTGTTTAAATAATGAATATGTATTACAGTCTTCCAGGTATTCTGTCGTCTTTCAGGCTGTGAATCTGAGCAAAGCGATGACATTAATTCCTCCAAA